ATTGATTTCTTCTCTAATCTTTATTATTTCCTATCTTCTGCTATTTTGGGGCTTCAATTGTTGTTCTTTTTCAACTCTTTAAGGTGTAACGTTAGGTTGTGTATCTGAGACCTTTTTCCTTCTTTAGGAAGGCCTGGATTGCTATATACTTTGCTCTTATGACCTCCTTTGCTGTATCCCAGAGGTTTGGGGATGTCATATTATTATTTTCATTGGCTTTCTTATACTTTTTAATTTCCTCTTTAATTCCTTGGCTAACCCATTCATTCTTAGGAGGGTGTTCTTTAATCTTCAAGTATCTGTGGTCTTTCCAAATCTTTTCTTGTGGTTTATTTCGAGTTTTATAGCGTTGTGATCTGAAAACAGGCACGGTATGATCTCGATCTTTTTCTACTTGCTAAGAGCAAGTATCCCAGTATGTGATCTATTCTGGAGAATGTTCCATGTGCACTCAAGAAGAATGTGTATTCCACTGCCTTAGGATGAAATGTTCCGAATATACATGTTAAATCCATCCAGTCCAGGTGCCATTCAAAGCCACTGTTTACTTGTTGATTTTCTGCTTAGATGATCTGCCTATTGCTATAAGTGGGGTGTTGAAGTCCCCTACTATTAGTAATATTATCAATTAGTTTCTTTATGTTTGTGATTAACTGCTTTATGTATCTGGCTGCTCCCACGCTGGGGTCATAAATATGTACAATTGTTAGACCTTGGTGGATAGTCCCCTTAATTATGATATAATGCCCTTCTTCATCTCGTTACAGTCTTTATTTTAAAATCTTGTTTGTCTCATGTAAGTATGGCTACTTCAGCTTTCTTTTGGCAACCACTAGCATGATAGATGGTTCTCCATCCCCCTACTTTCAATCTGAAGGTGTCTTCAGATCTAAAATGGGTCTCTAGGGGCGCCTGGGTGGCGCAGTCGGTTAAGCGTCCGACTTCAGCCAGGTCACGATCTCGCGGTCTGGGAGTTCGAGCCCCACGTCAGGCTCTGGGCTGATGGCTCAGAGCCTGGAGCCTGTTTCCGATTCTGTGTCTCCCTCTCTCTCTGCCCCTCCCCTGTTCATGCTCTGTCTCTCTCTGTCCCAGAAATAAATAAACGTTGAAAAAAAAAATTTTTTTTAAAGAATCTTTGCATACTGCAAACTTTTAAAATATCATATACAATTTTTTAAATGTTTATTTTTAGAGAGACAGAGAGCATGAGTTGGGGAGGAGCAGGGAGAGAGGGAGAGAGAGAATCCCAAGCAGGCTCTGCTCTAACAGTGCAGAGCATGATGCGGGCTCAATCTCATGAACCATGAAATCATGACCTGAACCAAAATCATGAGTCGGATGATGTTTAACCAACTGACCCACCCAGGTGCCCCATCATACCCATTTTTTAAAGATTCCAAGATCTTTAATGTCTTAGAGGTTTTCTATGCCAATGAACAATGAAGGAAACATTCATTATTAAACATAAAAACTGCTGGTACATTATGATGCCCTATAATACAAACAAAAAACAAATTTTTTTTTTTAATTTTTTTTAACATTTATTTATTTTTGAGACAGAGAGAGACAGAGCATGAACGGGGGAGGGTCAGAGAGAGGGAGACACGGAATCTGAAACAGGTTCCAGGCTCCGAGCTGTCAGCACAGAGCCCGACGTGGGGCTCGAACTCAAGGACTGCGAGATCATGACCTGAGCCGAAGTCGGCCGCTCAACCAACTGAGCCACCCAGGCGCCCCAAAAAACAAAATTTTTAAAAACCCAACATAAAACAAAAAAAAACGATTAACAAATGTTTTAAAAAAACAAAAATAAATGATCCAAAGTCCTTTAACTTGAGCTTAGACTGAGTGCCAGCCAGATCAATTCCCAACAATTAATTCTCTCACATTCACTTGGAGCTTGTCTAGGTTTCATTAAAAGAAAGGTTTCTTCTTTACCTATGTGCCTCAATCTTCAACTTTTATCAAGCTATAAACCTATACCTGAGTTTGACATTAACTCTTTAATATGAACTTGCTGCTAAATAGAACTGCCAAATCATCAGCATGTGATTGAAGGCTTAAGTAATAAGGTCAACAGAGCATGCAAGAACAAAAATTAAAGAAACTCTCAGAGACCTCTCCAAAGAAAATGTATGCAAGATTCGTGCAGAATGTAACCTCTATGACACCAAGGATCTCGGTCCATTTTTTTTTCATTCTCCCTTCCCAGAGTTTATAGCAGCTCCTGGCATGCAAAAGGTATACAATACATATTTGTTGAATAAATGAATCAACTTGGTATTTTCATCAGCAATGTTTATTTCAAGGCCAAAAAACAAGATTCTCCCAAAATTAAGTTTACAGACTCAATGTATTTACATTATACACACTGTATTTACAACCAAAGCATAATTCTCATTTTGGAATTTTCCATTATTCACTGGGAAATTTTAAAGTAGGACATTACTGACCACAGAAAAGTATAAGAGTTCAGTATCTATAAATCTGATCGCCGATACCCCCCTGCTTCTACTTTCTATCAAATAAAGAAATACTGCAAATGAAAAAGCAATCTACAAAAGGAGAATAACTATGAATTGACACACCAAAATCAAACTAAAACAAACCATAAAGTACCGTTAGCCAGTAAGGCCCTCAGAACTTTTATAAGGTTCTAACAGATATTTGCTGTAAGAAGGATGCTGGGAAAAACTGCTAATTCCCTGCTTGGGTACTCTAATTCCTCCAAACAGTAAGCATTCCTCAATGTGTAAGTTGAACAAACATAATTGGACTAGCCAAGCATCCATTAGAGAAAAAAAGACATTCACAAAAATTCACAGGACTAAGTATAACCTCATGCAACTGAAATCTTGGATTAGACCACTGACATGCAAGACCTCTATTTTTACCTTTAAATAGTATTTACTCAGAACATACACTGGTAATTCTTTAATAAATGTAACATTTCATTACTCATGGTATTCAAGGTCCTGGAAATATAAGATAGCTGTGATTTACCAATGCTTTTTCTATTCTATGAAGGCCTAAATTCTTGTCTCATTGCTAAACTGTGTTCCTATGCCTAAAGATGTACAGCAACACCTTCATTTAATTGTCCCCTACGGAAGGTTTAAACCTTTGCTTAGCCTCTTTACGTATAAACTACAAGAGCAATTCAAACATACTTTTTTCTTTTTAAAGTAGGCTTCATGCCCAGCATGGAGCCTAACGCAGAGCTTGAACTCATGACCCTGAGATCAAGACCTAAGCTGAGATCAAGAGACAGATGCTTAACTCACTGAGCCACCCAGGTGCCCCAAACATATTCTAGATGATAAATAAAATCAATAAACAGAAGCTCTTGGTATTATAAGAAAAACCTAAAAGCACAAAGAGGTCCTTAAAAGAAGGAAAGGTAAGACTTACTTCTTGATACAGTTGGTCATGAGAAGATGGACATCTTGTCTTTCATCTAACAGCAGCATTGCCCCTAAATAGCCAATGCGTTTGTCTGTGAATTTTTGAGAGGCGATAAGCTTCAGGCACTCCAACTGCAAATTAAAAAAAAAAAGAAAAGAAAAAGAAATTAAGAAATTGCTACCACAATCAGGAAAGCAATGTTTTTAACCCAGAGTCAGTGGATAGCTAAAATAAATAGATACCAAACTGCCTTAACAAAAGGGAAATACTAACATCTTTGGAAATCTTGATAATAGCTACCAAGTTTTAGACTAGATCTCAGCAAGGTCCTATGATATTTGCTATCCAAATAATCTGTGAGATTTACCTTAGTTCCACAATTTAAATAAATACTAACTAGTAAAATATTACAATAAAATATTAATAAACCCAATTCCTAATTTAATCCCCAAGTTGTACTAAATGAGCACTCAACTTATGTGTATATTTAAGGTCTGTTTCACATTTTGAATATCAAAAAACGCAGTAAATGGAAATACATCAAATTGCCAAACACTACCTTAAATATCAGGAATAGGGGTGCCTGGGTGGCTCAGTGGGTTAAGCATCCGACTGTTGATCTTGGCTCAGGCCACTACCTCATGGTTCATGAAATGGAGCCCAGCATGGAGCTTTGCACTGACAGCATGGAGCCTGCTTGGGATTCTCCCTCTCTCCCTCCCTCCCTCTCTGCTGTCCCCAACAAACGTACATGTATGCACTCTCAAAATAAATAAACTTTAAAAAAAAATCAGGAATATACAACAAGAAAGAACAACGAACTTTAATATAATGGGGAAAGGGCTACATTTAGGGCTTGAGCCATGTAGTAGGGAGAAGTGAGAGTTTAGTAGGATATGAGTAATAAAAATATAGAGGGGAAAAAAAACCCAGAGGAACTCTCTGGAGTGGAGTTAACCTAACATGTCTTACGCGATTTCTTCTTTACATAACTATTAAAAATCCTCAGAGCTTAAGAGTCTTTGTAGTTAGTTTGTCTCTCTACTTAGCTTTTCTTGAATGTCACAACTACTTCGATATACTTTATCAAACTATCAACTAACATGGAAAAGGCCAAACATTCCTTCTATAGCAATGGTTTCCAAAGGTGTACATAAGTTAGGCTCTCCAAGAGGAGTTTTGTGAACTATGTTCCCATTTAGAATCATTTCATCCCAAGGAAAGGGGCCCAAATGCAGACCTGCGTACAACAGTCTAAAATCATGTGAGACTACTCCCCATCTGAATTTGCCTCTAAGTTCAAAAGCAAAATTGAGTAATGAAAAAAATTCACAGAACTGTTTCAAGCTATTTAAAAATTGCTCTCTCAGTGTATCTGCATTAGAAACACCTAAAGTTGAGGCACCTGGGTGGCTCAGTCGGTTAGGCATCCAACTCTTGATTTTGACTCAAGTTAGGATCTGACAACTCATGAGACTGAGTTCCACGTTAGGCTCTGCACTGACAGCATGGAGCCTGCTTGGGATTCTCCCTCTCGCTTGCTCTCTCTCTCTCTGCCCCTTCCGCTCTCTCTCAAAATAAACATTAAAAAAAAAAAAAAGAATAAGCACCTAAAGTTAGCAGAATGGCTATACCACCATCAACAAATGAAAGAAGTCTCCAAGAAGAACCAGGATCCAAAAGGGGAACTGAAATGCCTTCTGAAACTGACAAAGATTATATAACAACCCTTCATTTCCTTCTTTGCATTCAATTTAAATTTTAAAAAACAATTTCTGAAATAGAAGACGAAAGTCATTTTCACAATGTCAGCAGAAAAGTTACTGCTGAGGTGAATGAGAAAATTAGAAGCTAAAGTATTATCAGAACACCTTACTTTTTCAAATAGAAGGCTTTTTTAACCTTCCCATTCAATAATCCTATAAATTAATATTTTAGCAGTGAAGAAAAGTTCTAATAATCAGGTATCACTAAAATTTTTATCATCCTTATTGAATCATGCTTCAAATAAATTATCTAAAAATTCTGTATTAAGACGAACTAATGAGGAAGATAGACTTTACTCTTATATATTAATACTACTTTGTATTTTTTTAGGGCCAAGTTTTAAAGCAGTCACAGTAAAAGTCATCAGTGACTAGTGAGTACAGTTGTTGCTTTTTGTAACACTTGTTTATTTTTTAAAAAAATTTTTAATGTTTACTTTACTTTTGAGAGAGAGAGAGAGACAGAGAGAGAGAGGGTAAGGGCCAGAGACAGAGGGAGACACAGAATCTGAAGAAGGCTCCAGGCTCCGAGCTGTCAGCACAGAACGCGATGCGGGGCTCGAACTCACAAACCTGATCATGACCTGAAAGTAGGACGCTTAATTGAATGAGCCACCCAGGCGCCCCAGCATTTGTTTAAAACTTATCTAAAAATTAAACAGTGAAAACAAAAACTAAAATTTAAAGGGACAAACACATAATTAATTCTTTTTAATATTCCCCATTGGTACAGTAACTTTGCACCAAGAATAAGCATTTACTTTATGAAGATGGCAAATTTGAGAGGAAATATAAGATTACAGACTGGAAATGGCATTTTAAAAACATGCTCCAATGAAGGATTAACTCTGATCATATCTACACTTAGGCATCAGCGGCCAGCAATAGTGCTGAGAAAGTACCATGTTTCATCTTTAAGAACAGTATCTAAGTTTTCAGATGTTGAAAAAGAAAAAGGTCGGAGGAGTGTACAATGGGGTTTGGGGTAAATATGAGGGAAGGGCATCCATTTTTGAGCAGCAACCACTAAAACCACAATTCTCATGTGAGTTACAGAAGAAAAATAGTAAAATCAATTAAATGCTTCTGCCTCTTAGGTAACAACCTCAAATTCAGAACTACTACTCACTGAAAGCTACCTGAAAAATCTCACCTAAACACTGCTAACTCACAAATCTAGCATATGCTTTAAGACCACAGTAAAGAGTTTAACTTTTATATTCACACAACCACAGAGATAAAAAATAACTTTTGCTTTTTTACACCAAACTCTGTAAGCAAAGTCAAAAGACAAATGACAAAATTGGAAAAAGTATTTGCAACCCATTTCACAGATATGAAATCCTATATAACAGAATCCTAATTGATTTTTTAAAAGACAAATTGATTTTTAAAAAGACCAACAACTCAGTACAAAAATGGACAAAAAATATGGACAGTTCAAAGAAAACAAAAATAATTCAAACATGAAATGGAGTTCAATCTCATAAAACAAATGCAAACCCAACTAGGTAAATTTACTGTTTAAAAAAATCACTGAACTGTACGCTTGAAAAAGACGAATTATATGAGATACAAAATATGCCTCAGTGAAGTTATTAGAAAAGACATGCAGACTGAAACCATAGTGAGATGCTACTTTTTAACCTATTTTATTAGCAAAGCTTCACAGTTATAACAGTGTGAGGCATTAGTGATTGGACATAAACTGGCACAAGCTATAGTGAGAAAGTTCTAGCCTATCTACATTACAAATACACATATCATTTGACTTGACCATTCCACATTTAGGAACTTACACACTTACATTCACACATGTGCAAAATAATGGGCATTATTCAATTGTAGTATTACTTTAAACAGTAAGACTGGAGGGGCACCTGGCTGGCTCAGTTGGTAGAGCATGAGACTCTTCATCTCAGGGTTGTGAGTTCAAGCCCCACAATGGGTCTGGAGTCAACCTAAAATAAAAAATTTAAGGGGTGCCTGGGTGGCTAAGTCAGTTGAGCATCAGGCTCAGGTCATGATCTCAAAGTGTGGGTTTGAGACCCGCATCCGGATCTGTGCTGACAGCTCAGAGCCTGGAGCCTGCTTCTGATTCTGTGTTTCCCTCTCCCTCTCTCTCTTTTTGCCCTTCCCCCACTCGTGCTGTCTCTCCCAAAAATAAACATTAGAAAAAAATTTTTAACTTAAAAAATTAAAAAAACAGTAAGACTGGAAATAAACGTCTATTAATAAGGCATCAGCTTAATAAATTATGATTCATAAACATCATAGACTACAATTCTGGATACGCTACCATCAGTATGTCCAAAGAGCTGGAAAAACGGAGGAAGCTTTTTTATATTGATATGAGCTAATCTTCAAAACAGATTAATAAGCAGATAGTGCAAACAGTGTGCTGCAATATATATTTTACAGTGGAGGGGACATTTCCATTGCCTGGAGATGTATAAAATATCTGAGGGATAGACAAGAGATGGTTGCCTATAAAAAGGAAACTAAGTGACTGGAAGAGGACAGAAAGTGGAGTTTTCATCTTCTATTCTTTGTTTTCATTATTTATTTATTTTTTTTTTAGAGGCAGGGGGTGACAGAGAGAGAGAGAGAAAGAGAGACAGAATCTCAAGCAGGCTCCACACTCAGCACATAGCCCAACAAGGGGCTCTATCCCATGGCCCATGACCTGAGCCGAAATCAAGAGTTGGACACTAAACTGACTGAGCCACCCAGGCGCCCCCATTATCTATTCTTTTGTATCTTTTAAATTTTGCATCAATGAACTACCATTATCTATTCGCAATATAAGTAATATTGGACTAGAGGAAAAAGTTTAAAACTGCAGGATGAAGGGAACTTTCAACTATGGTTAGAAAAATTAATGCTATCGCTTCTCGGCCTTTTGGCTAAGATCAAGTGTAGAAAAATTAATGCTACAATTAAAAAGAAAAAACCTAGGGAAATTATTCCCTCTCCAAAATTGAATAATATGTGATTTGAAAAACTAACAAAGCACTTGAGTCTTGGAATTGTTTTATGAAAACGACTTTGAAAATTTAAGACCAAAATCTTATGAAAATACAACTCAATAAATGGGAAGAATCAGTTTTAAATAACTTAAATTTATGATGAAGGATTACTGTGCTATTCTATTATTCCTGTAATGCTGCAGGAGTTTAAGATGTCCATTCCTTATCTCTAATCCCCATGATGGCTATGTTTTTTTCCGCTGGCAGTTATTTTGTATTTTTCACTATCAGTGTCTTTCTTGTCAACAACACTCTTAACTACCACTGGCTTTTCAACAGCAACCTTCTCCCTCTCCCCCACTTCCATCCCAAAGGTCTCATTGTGGTAACTCTCAG